TTGTCCCAACGGGGGGTTTTTTTTTCTTTTTTTTCCCCCCCCCCCACTTTTTAACCTCTGGTTTAAGAATGCAGCTGTTTTGGGGTTTGTTTTCTTTTTTTTCCCCTGCATATAAAGGGAATGAACAGTCTTAAAATTGTAGTATTAGTACGAGCATATGAAAAGCCAGATAATAACTTATTCCTTTTTTTCTGCATCTTTTACAAGGACTTTAAAATATTTTTCATGGTAATTTTGATGTAGGATTAAATTGATGATTTTATAGCCATCAATTGCAGATGCCTTTGGGATCATACATTATGTAAAATACTTCTATATTCTCTATAGCTGATAATTTTGAAATATTTATAATCGTATTCCTATCCTATGGGTTTTTTTCTGAAATGCTACAGATACTATTGAAATAGCTGATGTGGAAAAAAAAAAAGGCAGAGAATAATATTATGGTGCTAACTTCCAAATAGTGCACCTTTTACATCATCTGCTCCCTGGAATTTCTAGTCTAACAAAGAAAAGGGTAAAAAAAGTTATGTAATTATGGTGAAAAGATAATGGAGCATTTAATTGTTAATTACATATCAATTCTTGAATTGAATTCCTGGGAATTCTTTTAGATTGTGTAGGTAATCTTTGAACTTTTTTGGTGCAGATGTATGTTCTACACATCTCATGATGTTTTCAGATGTCTTGTCTTTCCACATCAGACCTATACTCTTCCTTCAGTCTTGCCTTTTTATCTGGAAATATGTTGTTTGAGGTTTTGCCTAAGCAACCAGTTTCTTTAGTCAGCCTGGAATGTATATTTGGAGAGCTCCCATCTGATCAGTAGGTGTCTTAAATCTCTGCCAGTGACTTGACCTTAACTAGCCTGTGTTTCCTGATTAAAAATGGAAAAGTATCTTCATTTATTATCTAGTTTTGTTTTAACAGTTAATCTTCTTGGGATGCCATAAACTTGTTAAAGGATTTGTAGTTTTACCAGCAATCCTTCTTTTCCTCAGCCACTTAAAGAAAAACTAAACATTGAGTTCAAGGATTCTACTGTTATTTTCTTCATGGACAAGAGAAATGGCATTTTACAGCCATGGGAAAAGAATCCTTCCCTCTCAAGTATATTGATGTAGATGAAGAGATCAAGGAGTTCAAATTCCAAGGGGCTGCAGAAGCAAACACTCTGTGGGCTGGTCCTGTATAAACAGTGTAGTTTGAACCTTTTTCAAATGCTATTTACCAATTAAATCGTAAAAAGTAATTTTCAACTCTAATTTGGGAAACAGCAAGGGCACAGTGTATAAATACAGCTTTTATTATCATTAGTCACTAATAGTAAAGGTTAATGTTTGTTAGGGCTGGTATTTATTGCTTGCTTTAATGCACACGTTCTGCTTTGACCAATACTTAAGCACACAGGAAGGACCATTCTAATTTGCAGATTTTAATTGTAGCTTAGCAGTATCTCAGGACTGCTACTTTCCATTCTGACCTTGCTACTTAACAGGTTACTTCATTTTCATCCAGGAACTGGTCTGTTGACTGACACTTGCTCTTCTTGGAATCCTACCATTAACAGGTGTGCTGTAACAAGTGGTCTCTATTGTCATACTTAAATGCATTTTCATTTTTTTCTGAGCCATGGTAGGGATGCTGCAAGTGGAATATAAGAAAACAGTCTTTTCTAATAGCTGTGTTGATGCTGGGTTATGTTACTGGATTGCAAGATCTTTGCATCTGGCAGGAGTCAGTAGGAAAGGTTCGATGACGTCCTTTTTAATGCCCATACTATGTATGGTTTTTAAATACCTGCATTTTTTGTTTTCCTTAGTTCTTGTTTATAGTGCAGTTGGTTTTGCCCCGGGACAAATAAGGCTGTTATAAAGATCTTCATGTTTGCTAAAAGCTTTGCACTAGACCTGCCTGAATAGTGCATTTGTTTCAGTAAGATACAGATTTTAATTGTTGTTTTTTTTTTTTAAGCACAGCTGTCCAGAGATTCTTCATGAGCTTGTAAATGCTGGGCATGTGCCTCTATCCTAAAGAACACAAAAAATCAAGCAACCTCTTCTTAAGGATATTCAAAAAGAATTTTGATGGCCTCTGGAGAAAATTTAGCTTGACTATATCAAATGAGGGTTCTTTTAGAGCATTCAGGAGCTGAAGTTTTTAAGTGTTTTGGAGCTTGATCAGAATTAGTGATTTCTGTAAAACACAGCCAGCTCCTCTTTCCATTTTGGAAGGAGTATTTCACTTTGATCTTTCTGAGTCCAAAATTCAGGTTGCATTCCACTGGTGTTTTGGAAAGAGGGATTGCAAGATAACAGTGTCTTTAGAAGGAGGTGTCCTCTAGCATGCCCATTTCTAGCTGAGGAAGAAAGCAGTGACAACTGGAGCCCTCTGAAAAGGTTGTGATGCTCTGTTACCTACTTTTGAAGTCTGAGTTCAATTTTAAATTTACAAAGACCTAATATCAGATATGTAAAACAATTTTGATGGACTACAGTATGGTGTCTATAGATACTTCAGGTCTGAATGCATATAGATATGTAGAAATTAAAATAATACATTAAAAAAAAAAAAATCATAGCTAAAAAAAGTCTGGATATCTCGTTGGCACATTTTTAGAGGTAAAGAAGCCTTCAAAGTGCACCTGCTCTTCTAGATTTCAGCTGATTTACATGGTAGAATTTTCACCCTATTTTTTACATTAGAATTAGAGTAGGATGTGTGTATAGAG